AGCAATTAGCATAAGTATAATTTGGATCACTTTCTTCATCCGTTCTGAAACCTAGTAATTAATTAATTAATAATTAATTTCAGATTAATCATATTCGACATCTTTGAGAGGACTGATGTAATCTTATGCTTAAAAAAAAAAAAAAAATATTACTGCTCGTGATCAGGTAGCATGAATTTAATGAAATGTCATCATTTTATTTTTCTTCTTCTTTTTTGTATCAAGGGCTACACAATTGAAATGGTGGAAAACTATGTGTAACATAAGAGTCTTTTTTAATAATTGAATTTTCAGGTAAAATTAGTTTTTTATTTAGTTAGAGATAGAGCTAATTTTGAAAGTAACGTTGTGAGCTATTCAACGTGCTATTGATCCAAAGTCAAAGTTTATATTCTTTCTAACTAAAATAGGCTCAGAAAATAAAAACTTATAGAGAAAAATAAAAATTCGCAAGAATTATATTATTTCAAAAAAGAACGAAGCCAAAAGAAGCGAAATAAGAAGCTAAAGATGCTAATTTTTTTAGCAAATTCCACAGGGTCTCTTAAAATAACTTATATAACAACCTTCATCCTTTAGTCCGGCGAGAACATCAATGTACTCACTGATTGACTTAAGGTTTAGCTGCTATAACAACGTAGAACTGACATATAGTTACTCGACTTTAACCTTTTTTTTTTAATATGCAGAAATTGGACGAAATATTGTAGGAGCACACTTCCCGAATTGTCAGAAAACGGTGACAGAGTGAGTAATAAATGCACAGTGTATCTACATACTTAATCTAACAATACCAGTACTCCCGGATACTGGATATTAGACTTGAACCCAGTTAGTATAGAGTGGCCTTGAAGCAATTACTGCAGAAGTTTTAGAAATGTAAAAGTGATCATAGGTACATGTCGTCCCCTGTTGCTGCCAGACAATAATTGGACGGCGAACTGACTCGCTATATTCGTATTTCATTAATGAGACCTTAGGAATTATCAACTACATAGTTAAAAGGAATAGAAGGAACCTGTTAGTCCTTTCTAGACAAAGGTAGCTCATTTTGGATGGCTTTCTAATACCAAATTGACATTTTATACCTACCACCTCCATACACTATAAAAAAACAGCCAGTTTGATGATAAGATGATTATTCACTTACAGAAACCTCAACATTACTGCCGCGACTTCTGCCGCCACCCTTTTTACCACATGAATCAAAGACATTAGGCCAGAAATGCGACAGTGAAGAACGTTTGATAGCCATATTTCCTTCTCAATGCACATTTCCATGCCATGCGTCATATGGGGAACTTTCACATGCTGGACATGTATAGGGTACGTCGGGGTCTAGTCTGGTCTTGAACCTACTTAAGTATCGCAATTGAGCCAAAGTAACAGGGGTCTATCTTAGCAGCTGAAGCTGGTGACAGTTACCGGTGAAGGTCGTTTATTGCCTATTTATACGGGGCTAGGTGCAGCGGTTGTCGCTCGTGGTTTTGGAACTCGTCCTTCAGTTAATAGAGATGCTTTCTGACGTGTCTGGGTGGAGGTTCCGCCTCAAGCAAGTGCATGTTCGAGTGCTCCTGCCTATGGCGACCGACGGGGTGCTTCTTGCGGATCATTATGTTGTGCTCCCTTACTATGGTATATAGTCGTTCGGGGTCGTTACGATTAAGAACGTCATAGGAAAAATGAAGAAATCTGCTGACGATGGAAGAACACAGCATTTTTTATCGGAGCAAATCCTCATGCGGTGTCAACATGAGAAACATCCCAGCAACGCTCTTCTTCGAAATTCGTGACACGTGAGACGCAACCTGCCTGACTAAAGAACTAACATCGAGTCGTACGTAGATCACGCGTTCAAAGAGGCAGGATACAAAGCGGCTTTCAACAACATACACAGCGATGCTACCACAACAAGCCTTCGCACCCGCAAGGACAACATTTTGATAGGAACCAAACGTTCTCACGACAGTCGGCTTTACGTAACCGGAATGTCTCAAATCCATATCTGACCAAGGACTGTCACTTCAGCATCATTCCCCAAAGACGCTTTGCGCGATTTGTATGTTATTGCAACAACAACATTGAGGAAGCACAACTTACCAGAGGAACCAGGCGCACAACTCTGTTCCGGGTGATGTTACGTTCCTATCTCGGCTGACCAGCATGCGGATTATGTCCATGCAATGCCCAACTTCTCTTCACATGTATCTCCAACCCAAGAACCCTGACACCGGAAGCACTGTGGACTGCGCTCATCGACGTCGCCGGCTTTATCGAAGTCAAGCTTGACGAGACCCATGGGGGAGTTGAGCACTACTACAACAACAACAATGCCAAGGTGATGTAACAACAACAGGAATTATAAAATTTATTATATTTTAAAACCTCCGCCAAAATATTTCAGAAAAAATTTACAAATGTGAGCTAGATCGATTTGAAAATACCTCCAAATATCTCTTTCTTAAGTTTCATTTTTCCCGAACCGACTCACTTTTTACTTTTGGTTTCCATGTATTTACTATGGGCAGAATAGAAATTTTCGGGAGGGAGGTAGATTATTTTGATTCCATTGATAAAAATTTGTAAACGTTGTTATGCAAACCTTGCAAGTTTAAGCTCTCCTATCGTCTGAGGTGATATTTTAGAAAAAATATTTTTAAAAACCAATTTTATTTATAAAAAATCAGTTTTTACAGGTATTTTCAAAGAGGTCCAGCTGACGTAAATCTCAATATTTCCCAAAACATTTCGGTGGAAGTCTTAAAATATAATGAAATTTATATATCTAAGGCAAAGACAGTACCGATTTTTTTTGTATAGATTGTGATGTACATTAATGTACATTAGACTGCATCACCAAAAAAAGTTGCGGGTTTTCCGCCGGAATTACAAAATTTATTATATTTTAAGACGTCCACCAAAATATTTCGGAAAAATATTAAGATTTTAGTGAGCTGGACCGATTTGAAAATACCTCAAAAAATGGAGTTTTTTATGGATAAAAATAGTTTCTTAAAGAACTTTTTGAAAAAAGTCCCCTCAGATGACGAAATTCAAAATGTTAACAAATTTTTAGGAGTCGGGTTTGAGAAGTTTAAATTAAAAAAATGCAAAAAAAATGCAAAAAAATTTACAAAATTTTTAGTTGAAATCTGATAATTTTGACATATTATTGAAACTGATTCATGTACATACATAAATTCATATATTCTCTAAAAGTAAACATTTTGTGGAATTTTCGGGATTTTAGATTTTTTGAAGCCCTGGCAGCGGCCCCTAATTTTATTTTAATATTGGACGTAGTAAAAAATAATGTAATATAAAAATGTTGAATATTAGAAAAAACGCCCCTGTAAATTTTTTTTTTCTGGTACAAACGATAATTTCGCGTAAGGGGTCGATATATAATTTTATGAGGGAGTTAATTTAATCATATGTAATGAAAACCGCAAATAATGAAGAGACAGCTTATTGACTTTATTCATGCCGATACCTTGTATTTGGCAAACAATTAAAGGCCAATTTAATTTTATTATGTGGCAATAAAAAGTGAATTTATTGTGCGAAAGTAATTAGACGCCCACAATACTATTCCAGAAATAAAAGTGCAAGCAAAATATATTTGTTTTGCAGACTTGAAAAAAAAAAATTGTTTTTTTTTCGTGCATATTTGGTGCACTACTTTAGAGGCTGCCAATTAATGGGGTAGATAATATCAATAAAACAATCTGATGTTTGCAGAGATAAGTGTATTACGCGTATACAACGTAAGTATGTATGTATGTCCGTGTGTGAATAGGTATGTATGTATGTATGCATATATGAATTTCCTCGAATCGCGAAAAATAATTGAATTACACAGTGGTGGTGGCATTGGTGTTAACCAATCAGTGACTGTTATCAGCTGCAACGTTGTTGTGGAAAATATAAACAAGCACATCAGTATACATAAATACATATCGTACCTTTGCAGCAAGAGTGACATAATAAATTTTTTTTTTAGTAAGTATGCAGACATCGTCGCTACCAATGTCAAACTAACGTAGGTGAAAATAGTTACTTTTCAGGGAAAAAATCTGTTGTAAAAAATGTTGTTGTTATTAGGTAAAAGTGTGGGATTTGACACTTTGTTAAAGCCAGTATCCTCTGCTTCTAAGAAGACTAGAAATTCGGCAATTTACCAACTTACGTATCATTCTAAAAGCATGTGCAAGGTATCGTAAATGAAAAAAAAACATTTTTGCACATTCGATAGCTTGACATAGTACCTCTTCTTCAATGCTGTGTCAAAAAAAAAATCATGCCAATGATTCCTTGGAAGAAAATGTGTCTTAATTTTTACCATGTGAGCGTATGTAAACTGTAAACTTTAAAGCCGTTTTAGATTTTATGAATTGTTACACTCTTGCAGCAAACGTACGACATGTATTTGTGTAAATCCGCCGGGTTTTATATCGCTGAAATGCTAAAAAATTGTATAGGCGTACATACATACATATCTATGCAGGTATTTTTTACGCTATTCAAAATCAAATACGAACTGCTTTCAAAATATTTTTTTCCTCGCGCCTTCAAACATTGGCAACATTGGCAATTACTTTCTGGCGCGACCTCATACACTAGATGCACACCAATGCAGGCAGATGCAGATGTACTTCAAGTGGAAAAAAGGGTTGAGCAAACAATGCATTCACGACATATTCCAATTTATTGTTGTGCAAATATTGATTGCAACCTGTTGCATTTACAGTTGAGAGGCAGAGCACAAACACACCTACGAATTGTAAATACCGTTACACAAATACTAAAGCAGACAACTGCTGAGCGTTTAAGCCAATTTGTGATAGCGCGTAATCGATCGCGATTGTTTGAGTGGCGGCAAGTTACGCAAGTACTAATATAAAGTATAAAACCGCAGAATACTTTCAATTGATTTCAACTTTTAATTGCAAATAAGATTGGAAAATTGTCAAAAAAATTAGTTCAAGAATGGGTTAACGCAATTTTTTGTTGAAACTATCTCATTGACATTTATTTAATTGAGTTCTAAATTTTATATGTACTGATATTGTTTAACGAGTACATTTCGTTAGTCAGTATTAACAATTTCAGAAATGGATTACAGGTAATTTCTAACAATAATTGAGTATGTATATTAAAGTTTGGCGTAAGACCTGATGTTTACGCAATTTAAATAATTTACAATTATATGCAGTTAGGCAGATACGTATGTAAATGTAGAGGTACAATGACTTAAAAATTTAATTTTTTCGAAAAATCGCTGCACAAGGCTTCTAAACTAACTTACTACAAATGATATAAAGAATATGATATAATTAACGCTTGTGAGCAAAAATCGAAGCTTTCTTAAAGCAAGCAATTTTTTTTTTTACTTTATAGATATATTAGTATTTTAACATTCTTCAACTGAATTTGGAATGATTTGCGTTAGAGCAATGATAGTTTGCTAAATAGAGAGCACGTCTTGCGTACATAAGGTATCATAACGAGAATTTTCGAAAAGGCAAGCAAATGCATTTATGCTTTTGAAAAAATATCACGAATTATCTACAATCTCAAACTATAACGATTTCTCATATTTATATTATGTATGTATATATTTTAAACTATTTGCAAATAACTACTGTTTACGTATTACTCCAGCGCCTACACCACCGCTATGCGCGCACATTGATGGCTCATAAGACCACTCGTCCGTTTCGGGATCGTAAACTTCAACAGTGGATAGATTTGACTCGCCATCGTATCCTGATATAAAGAAATGTGTAGATGAATGTAAAAAAAATGTATTTACATCACTCATTTTTCCTCACCGCCAATAGCCCACAATTTGCCCATATTTGCAGCCAACGCAACCCGACTTCGCTTGCAATTCATTGGCGTTACGAGTTTCCAAGTATCTGTTATGGGATCATATACCTCAACAGAACGCAAAAATGAAGTGCCATCATAGCCGCCACAAGCATATAGCTTTCCATTCAGCGCAGCCACACCCAAACGACAGCGACGATTTAGCATTGAATGCATTTTAAGCCATACATCTTTGATGGGATCATAACGCTCGACCGAGTCGAAAATGGAGAGCCCATCATGCCCGCCAAGCGCATAAACATAACCACCCAAAGCTGCAACCCCACCAGCCGAACGATACTTCATCATAGGCGCCACCTTTATGGGATAAAAAGTGAACAAATGCAGCCAATAGTAAGTGAGATGAAGCATCTGTGTGGTTACGTACCGTTTTCCAAATATCAGTCTTCGGACAATAGCATTCCACTGTATTTAGCGAAGTAACACCATCATAACCGCCACATACGTAAATGCAATCATCTAAAGCAGCGACACCAACGGCGCTAGTGTAGAAAAATGTCATCCAGCGCACTCTTATTATGAATTCTAAATGCATATATCGCTTACCTTCGCTTGCACAACATTGCACGTCCTTGTGTCCATTTATTCTTTTTCGGATCATATACTTCCACCGTGGAGAGACGTTCAGTACCATTAAAACCGCCAAAAGCGTAAAGTTTGCCATCCATGACTGCGACACCAACGCGAGAACTGCAAATACATGTAAGTAAATTCGCACGTTACCGTTTTAAGTAAACATGGTTTAAAATCATATAAGAGAACAATAAATCATATTAAAAATCTACAGACGCGTATATAGAGCAGTCTGCCTTGAAGAGAAATTTTACTTTTGTTAATATTTGTTGATCTGAAAAGTTAAATCATTAGTACGCACCGCATCATTGACATTTGTTCGCCCATTTCCCATTTCTTAATCACTGGATCGTATATTTCAACGGTGCTTACTGATTCCCCATTGCTAGCGATTCCTCCAACGGCATAAATTTGCCCCATAATGAATTCTCCGCAACGTTGCCGCGTTCTATGTTTTAAAGCATTTAATTTCGTCACTTCTTAATTATTATATTCATTCAATTACCTGAAGCTTTGTAACAATCCTCTTCTTTCTGGCATTAGATGGAAATCTTTTGCTTCATCCAGCAAATCTCTGCACTGATGCGATGAGCGTATAAGCTCTTCGCGTGCAACACGATCTGCCAAAAATTGCGGTGAAAGCAGTGGCAGACGCACCTTGGATAATACTTGTGGGAACAATGCGGAACGCTTATCTTCCATATGTTTTACCCATTTCATGGAAGCTTCAAAAATCACTTCCTCTGTTGGCACATTTAATTCATCACGTCTTATTAAATCGATGAGCTCGTCAAAATCTAAGCCCAAAAATTCATCTGATTGCACAACTTTGGCAAAGTTCTGATCGATATACTTATCAGCGGCTTCAATTAGATGTGTACAACCCATCGAATCGGCAAAATGGCGTATGCCCAACACATTCTGCGGGTGAAAACGTGAAATCAAGAAATCCGCACAAGCATTGCGTACTTTGATCAGCTGCAGAAATGACGCACCCACCATTAGACTTTGAACATTTTGATTATCGATGCGTACTTGGCCACTGTATGCATAGTTGATGAGACTCTCAAGTGCGGTCGGTTCGATTTCCTTCATTGTAATCTCTTTGATGCGACTCTCGGCCATATTGTTGGTAAACATGGCATAGAAATATGGTATTGTACCAGCTAACACAATGCGATGAGCCGAAAACGATTGATCTTCCACCTAATGTTTAAAATAAAAATTAAATTGAGGGTGGGGTTTGCACCACCACCCAGCAGGGTGGCTCTATATATTTACCTTCAAAGTAACATCACAGAGTTTGCCCTGACGACGTATTTCGCGCATTAGCGGGAAACTTTCACCGAAAAGGTCATCATGCTTATATATTACATATTTTTGGTCATCCCCACAATCGCCAAAATCGGGCAAATCCATTATTGATGAATACGTTTGTTGTTGCACTAATTGGGTTAATTGTTGTTGCCGCTGTTTTGTTTGCGATGACGGCAAAGTGTCGCGCCCCGAAATGTGTAATCTCTCCATACTGGGTTCGGGCCACTGTTCCATTATAATATTAATAGTTGGTAAAATTATATTATTAAACTAATCCCATCGATTTTTAAAGAAAACACGTAACGAAAATCCCACCGAGGTGAAAAATAAACCAATAATTTGTCAAAATGCTGAAACTTTTCCTTCACTGTTTTGCTCCCCCTTCGTCGAGTTGCCACATGACCAGAAAAATTGTGGACCTGTAATAAATAAGGTTATCGATAATTTAAGAAAAAAGTTTTATGCAGCATGCGTGACGAGCCAATGACGATACAACGACAAGACGAGTCGTGTGCGGATGGCCTTACTTTAATTTTCGGAAAACATTACTTCTAAATACATTTACAACGGATAACAAGAACTGAAAATCTTTCGCAAAATTTTTGCTATTTGCTGTTTTAATTTTTGCGCTTGTATTATTCGTTATTTTGAATATACCGGCATTTTTGCGAACACATTTTAACACTTTTGGTCTTAACGTCGATGTGAGCGGTCGTGTATTGTCGCA